ATGGAAATTTCAGGTTGCCACAGTGATGGACTCTCAATCCTTCGTTTTGGTAGTGATCATTGCATCGATGATCTCATATCTTTCCTGCCTGGCACTTTGATGGCACCTATCCATCAAATCTTGGTGAATTGTGTACGGATAGTAGTCCTCTTAGGACTTTTGGAGTTCAACAGTCATTGTTGCGAGCATGATGAAATGAACCTTCGTATCATCTCGCTCATGAACCTTGTAGGTAGCAATCTCTTCGGGAGTAGCAGTGTTCACATTAACCTCCTTTAGCTCCTTGTCGAGAACATACTCCTTTTCCTCGTAACGGGTGACCATGCGAATGTTTTGGATCCAATCATTAAAGTTGGACCCATCAAATATCACCCCCCCCCCACACACACACACACACATACACATACACACAAGTTCATGAGTGAGAATGATCCGGAAGGGGTCGAGGCAGAAGTGTGTTGTTGTTCGAAGCCGAAATCTAAAAAGAAAAGGAACAAAGTTTAGATTAGATAAGAATCCCCAATTAAACACCCAAATGAAAAATTAGGGCTAGGACCCAACACAAATATTTACAATTGAGAAGAGGGATGTCGTAATCTAATTGCAAATAATTTGAAGGTAAGTGAATGGCGATTCACTAATTTCCACCATGAAAAACGAAAAAGACAATTAAGTTTTAAATGAATTAAAATTCCTAGATTATTTTGAGATTCATTGTAGTTTTCAATGGCATGTTTAAATCTCGATATGCCCTTCAAGATTGTGACTAGGATACCGAGGATCACAAACAAGGTGTAAATAACCATGCAAATGTACTTGGTGCTCTCAATGTCATTTACCACCTAATCAATGTGTCGGTTAGCCACACACGCTCCATTGATCTGTGATAAACATCGAGCTACCATTTGCCACCTTTGCTAGTCCCAAATTAGTGTGCCAGTTAACCACACACGCTCCACTAACAACACGGTAAGGTGCAAAGTGTAGTTTCATGGAATAGCATCATTTTCACATTTTTCCTAAAGTAACTAAGATTAGGAATTTGTACAAAATGTTTAGTTACTTTATAGATCATCATACTTATTAATGAGGAATTAGTTGCCCTACCCTACCCGTTCGGCTAACGACCCTCCACAAATCAAGAAATCGGTGGGTGAGAGTGGACACCCATTAAACTGTCATTTTATAGGCAGCAACCTTATAAACCCCCCCCCCCCCCCCTTATAGATCGGCTTTGTGAATGAGGCCTACTAACGGTAAGACTAGCTTAATCTTATACATATATAATTATTTACCTTATAATAATATAGTATAAGGGTTAATATTTAAATTTGTAAATTCTATGGTTTAGGATTTAAGTATTTCAAAATTAAAACTTTTAATCAAAAATTTAAATCCCAAAACTTGAGGACAATTTTTGAAACTTTTCAAAACATCTTTTAGATCAAATTTAAAAATTAATTAATTAATCATTTAATATTTATCACATAATTTGACCTAATCTATTTTCTTCATAAGATAATTCAAATCAAAATACAAATAATTAATCTTTATCCTATAAAACAAGTAATTATCTTATTTATGACATTTATCTATGAATTTCATTAGGATAATCCATACCTTATTGAAAAAATCGGATTTTATCAGCCAAAAACGTTTTTGGTAATTATCCTAATTTAATTTTAGTCAAAATCCCGAAAAATCAGCCCCCAGACTGCCCGACTCGCCGAGTTACTGAATGGACTTGTCGAGTTGCAATGACTTGTCGAGTTCATCAGATGACTCGATGAGTTCATCTGTCAGAGGCTGGATTTCTCGACTTTTGAGCTTTGAACAATTTAGCTATACATCAAATACAAAAGAAAAACGACCTAGGCTCTGATAATAATGTTGGGTTGTGAGCAATACATCAATCATATGGTGTACATGCAAACCCTAATGCTTGGATCTAGTTTTTCTAGTTGTACATGCAACAATTATCCAAGGCTTTCAAACCCTAATCTAGCATACAACAAAAACGATTTATATAGCTAAAACCAAGTTAGAAACATACCTTTGATCGTAGCTTGAAAATCTTGAGCTTTTGAGAACCTTAGCACCTCAAATGTTATGCCTCTAATAGATCACAAACACCAAAGCAAGTTAGAAAAATCTTAGAAAGGGGGGGGGGAGTAATTTTGGCTCAATGAATCCTTCTAGGGTTGTGATAGCTGAAATTGCGAAGCCAAAGGGTCCTTTATATAGGTGAGCTGCTAGGGTTTCAGTCAAAACCCTAATTAGATTGCATAGGCCTTAAGCAGTCTACAGGATCCTTCCAGAAAGCCTGCTATGGATGATTTCTATGTGGGCTTCCCCATAGAATTCGTCCATCCCTTCTTTAGGGTTCCTCAGCCCATATTGTAACTATCACATCATTACAATATCAATCCCCTTAGTTTAATTAATCTCTTTTGACCACAAAATTAATTCTAAATTAATTATTGACCAATATTAATTAAATAAATATGATTTCTCCTTTAATATATTATTCAAATAATATATTAATAAACCATAATAACCTCTTTCTTTATTATTCATCCAGTCAAGTTGTTTTGGTGAAGGCAACCCAAAATGACCATGCTACAATCGGATCAAATACATATCAAATATAGTTATGGGCGTAGACACCTAATCCAACAAATTCACCATTGTACAAGTATTGTAAATACAAGTAATAAGCACATATAACATTTAAACAATTAAATATTTGTATTTATGTGTAAGCTAAAAGTAACTATGCACTCACTTTACTAGTTAGTGAAAACTAACTACTATTATGGCTCCAAGCTCAATACTGTTTGCCAACTTATTATATTGCCTTAAACATCCAATATGTAAGGTGATATCCAAAAATAATTTTTTGAAAGACTTTCGTTGATATATGAAAATAATTCAAGATGTTACTATTTATACTAGAATTCAAATTGATTATCTCTTATCTTTCATACGGTTTAAAACACTTACTCATTTAAAATTATTGACACATATAACTCTGGTTACAAGAGTCAATAAAAAAACAAAACACGTATACCTTTTTATTAAATGAAGTTGTACAATCACATATTTAAACAATACGTGTTATTTTTAATTAATAAAATATAGACGACCTTTCTTATATTTCTTACAGAGCGTATGTTGGTTGGATCATTTGCAATTCACAAATCAATTATAATTACATTTATGGTCTCTCAGTTATTTTTGTATTAACACAATATATCATTCAAGTTTCAAGTTACAGTATATTCCCTTAACTATTTATTAATAAAATCATTATACCCTTTATAATAAAATCTTATCATTACATATATATATATATATATATATATATATATATATATATATATATATATATATATATATTATTTTACAATCTTCCTAATTTTATTAATAGATGGCCGATGTCATAATGTATATATGATTATTATTAGTCGAAAAATACATGTGTAACAAAAATACCGTTTCACTATGTGAGTTCATCATTGAATGTATTTACATCTTATAACATATAATTTGAGATTTTATGATTAATTATCCTAAATAATCTTCTATATAAAAAAATATTATTTTATTGCTTCAACGAAAATTTTATAATAAGCTTTTCTACACATATTGTATACACATAATATATGTCCAGATTTCACCCGCATGATATATATATAAATCAGTTTTATATAAACACATATTATGCTTGAAGAATTCTTATTCATTTATTAATAAGTTTACATTAGACATAAATATCTAACGAGAAACACAGGCTTTACAATAAGGACTCGACCCTACTTCTCTGTATCTTCCTTTAGTGCATTCAAGCAGTGAGATTTTAATTTTTTAAATTGTGCGCCACAGTTGTTTTAACAATAACCAAGCCTTTGATGCCATAAGGATTAACCGGAATGTACGAACACTTGAGGAGACTAGAGGAAATCATATAGTGAAGTGTTGTTATCTCAACTAATTAAAGGTTGTTGGTTCCTATAGTCATATAGTGAGTTGAGGACCTAAAAGGCATAGAAGGGCGAGCCCAAGAGTCGTGGTGAGTTGTTGGTGGCCTCTTGACGACTGTTATTGGTTGATTTATGGTGGTAGGATGAAGAACCACTTGTAAGTGAGTGGTTGTGGTTCGGGCGTGCGACAATGAAGAGGCTATCGGTGATCATTCTGTCAGGTAGAGCTAGGGCTGTCAAATCGGGCAGTCGTGTCGTATTTTTGTCTGACACGACACGAAACGATAAGGTTTTGGATGACACGAACACGACACGACATGATGTCGTGTTTTTTTCATTAACACGAAAACGAACCAACTAAAACACGACAACATGACACGACACGACAATGATAATATTACATAACTATTAGTGTATTTCATTCATACTTAAAGATATATAACACGACAAAAACGACAAACACGAAAAACACGACAACCATGTGTTTAATCGTGTCGATTTATGAACGCAAACACGAATTCAAATTTTGATTTCATCCCGATTTTGTTTCATTTCGTGTATTTTTGTCGTGTCGTGTTATAAATTAACACCCCTAGGTAGAGCCTTGAGGAGGGCAACTATCGGGGCTATTATCATACAAAATTGTTGGGTTGGACTTTGATCATTATGTTTAGGATCGTGACTCAAACGTTGGTTAATTTTTTGTTCTTCCAAGAGTAACATTGACCAAGTTTCATGTATATTTAACAAACAATGATATTTCTTTGAATTGAAACTGTTTTATATGAAATAAATTTACGACTTTTTGTTATTATGATTGATGATCTAAGGTTTGTGCGAAATATTGATTTGTGAATTGTTGTACATGTAGTATATTGAGTACATGCAAACCGAATCAAAACCATGAACTCATAAGTATGTAACCAATGTATTGAAGTTGATGAATCTTTGAAGGAAAATGTTAGAGCCAAATGAGCTTTGGGAAAACGCCTCATATAATGGGGTGTTAAAACCCATGTGGTTTTTAATTTTATTGCCATTCTCATGTTTTGATGATCCAACATATATATTTAACGATCTTGTACTTCAATGTTTATGACTTCTAAATTATTTAAAAGTTAAAAACAAAATGAAAAGATTACAATAACACTATCCAAGAATTTCTCAAACACTAATTGTGTAATTATTCGTGTATAATTGTTCTACATTTTGTGTTTACACCAAAAATCACTAATCAAACAAATGTTCGATTCTCAACAGCATTCTTTATCCTCCCAATAAAATCATCAACCTCCATGGTTCCAAGCTCCCCACCAAACCTAGACCTAACAGTAACACACCCTGTCTCCACCTCCTTGGGCCCCACAACAGCCATTAATGGTATCTTCATCTTCTCTGCATTTCTAATAAGCTTTGGTAATCTCTCACCCGTGCACAACTCCACCCGTATACCACAACCTTTCATCTTCTCCACAACATCTTTGCAGTATTCAAGCTTAAAAACATCAACAAACATCACATCTCAAAAGGGTATTTCAGACATTTGACAAACAACCAAACACAAGTCATCTATATCTACTTAATACCTGTGTATCAGTGACTGGTAGAATCCGAGCTTGAATTGGAGAGAGCCACAATGGAAAATCTCCTGCATAATGTTCTATAAGCACTCCAAAAAACCTCTCCAAAGATCCAAGAACTGCTCTATGGATCATAATCGGCCTCTTTTTCTCTGAATTTGAATCGATATATGTGATGTCAAAACGTTGTGGCAAGTTAAAGTCAACCTACAAAACTCAAAAACAAACAATCTTATCAATTTGACTTTGACTTTGACTTTTTAAAACTGTTTTTCACCAAATGATACATACCTGTATGGTGGAGCATTGCCACTTCCTACCAAGGGCATCTTCAATCTTGAGATCAATCTTTGGGCCATAAAACGCACCACCACCTTCATCAACCTCATAAGCCCACCCTTTATCAGTCAAAGCATCCTTAAGTGCACCAGTGGCTTTCACCCATATCTCATCATCTCCTACTGCTTTCTCAGGCCTAGTCGAAAGGTTGACTTCATATTTGTCAAACCCAAATTGAAGCAACATTTGCTCTGTAAGATCCAACACACCCTTGATTTCGTCTTTTATTTGATCCTCTAAACAAAAGATATGTGCATCATCCTATAACACAAATCACCTTAATTCCCCATAGTTCCATACACTTTTATAGCAATGTAATTTCATTGATACATATATATATATATATTATATACCTGAGTGAAGCCACGTACACGAAAAAGCCCGTGTAAGCTACCGGATAATTCGTATCTGTAAACGGTTCCTAACTCTGCAACCCGAATTGGGAAATCGCGATATGAGTGAGGCTTTCGTTTGTAGATTAAAATATGGTAAGGGCAATTCATGGGTCGAAGTTGATAAAGTTCTTCCTCAATGTTCATTTGGTCATACATGTTTTCTTTGTAGAAGTCTAAATGTCCACTAATGCTCCAAAGCTCTGCTTTTGCTACATGTGGAGTGTAAAGAAGATCATACCCACGTTGTGTGTGAATCTTTTTCCATAAATCTTCAATTATATGCCTCACAATCGCACCTTTTGGATGCCAAAACACTAACCCTCCTCCCGCATCATCCTGTGGATTTAAAAAGTATGAATCTTGATGAGATACAAACTCAAGTACACGAAAAATTGAAACTTTTTGAACTTTGTCCCTAAAAGATTGAGCTTATAGGTGTAAAAGACATAAATGCCCTCCTCCTTAACCACCTGTATGGAAAAGAGGTCAAGATCTTGACCAAGGCGTCTGTGGTCACGACGTTTAGCTTCTTCTTTAAAGTGTAAATATGCTTTCAATTGTTCTTCATTCTCCCATGCAGTTCCATAGATTCTTTGAAGCATTGGTTTATTTACATCTCCTCTCCAATAAGCACCAGCTACAGATTCAAGTTGTACAGCTCGTCTGTTGATATTTCCAGTAGTTTCAACATGTGGGCCCGCACAAAGGTCCCACCATTCATCACCTAAAAGAATACGACATTTTACAATGTGAATAAAGTGCTTTGGTTATAAACATATAAGGTGATAGAAGGGTTACCAATGTGATATATGGTGATAGGTTCTTCCTTGATGCTTTCCAAGATTTCCAATTTGTAAGGTTCGTTAATGGATGTTATTCTTTTGTGAGCTTCGTCCCTTGTCACTTCTTCTCTCACTAGAGGTAAGTTTCGACCAATGATACGATCCTACAGATGATTAAACAACAAATTAAGAATCTATTAATATGTTTGTGAGTTTAAGAATTATGATTTATGACCTCGAAACAGAGTATGGAAAACAATATAATGATATATGATATGTTTGAATGACTTACCATCTCCTTTTTAATCTTCTTGAGATCTTTATCAGTCAAAGACTCGATATCAAAATCATAGTAAAATCCGTGTTCGATCCATGGACCAATTGTTACTTTGGCATCTGGGAATACTTTTTGAACTGCCATAGCCATGACATGAGCACACTGCATCCATGGTGGAATCATTAGCCAAATTAATAGTGTATGCATTTATGTTGATAAATCATCATCATGAAGATCGAATGCAAGCATTTTGAATCACTGTTGGTTGACTTCTTTCAAGTTTTACTAACACCAATCGGTTAATATGCTTGAATCTAGCTTACCTGATTGCTAAAATGCAAAATCTAGTTTCTAAGTGGTGCATTTTGAATTCATGTAAGTCAAATACCAAGAATTTTCAAACTTAAAAGTGATATGAAATTGCCACGGATTCATATCACAGTTTCTTGATTACTAATTGTTCTTAAAAGTTTGAATGTCTTGATCGAATGCCACGGATTCATATAATTTCGATTTTTTCAGGCTGAATTTGACTCCTGAAAGTCAAAATACATCTCTGTTTACCTAAATTGTTTCATTTCGACATACCAATGGTATGTGAAATTGTTACGCTAAGGATTTAAAGGTTGGTGCAAATTTGTAAAAGCATAGGATGTAAATTTATCAAATTAAAGAAAGGAGGAGAATTTACTGTATGACGAATTCTGAGGAGTGTCTCTGACGATTCATTAGTAGGAAGGACTACTTTCTCCACCTCCTTAGGAACGTCATCCGAAGCGTTACTTTCCTCGGCGGCAACGGCAGTACCAGGATCGGTGGCAACGGCGGCCGGCGACGATGAGAAGCGATAATGGGGTTTCTTGAAAAGATAAATCGATTGGGATTTTCGGCTATAAAATTGCTTGGAGATGGGGTTAAAGAGTATAGAGGAAGATGAAACTGAAGGCTTTATTGGTAATCGGAGAGATGAACCGAAGAGAGGACGCGACGATGAAGCCATTCTGTGTAGGACAAACATGGCGTCGTTTCAGTTTCTACTCCGTCATCTTTAGCTTGTTTGAGTTGAGGTTTTGTGGCCAAGGTTGTTCCCTTGTATGAATAGAAAAATAGCTAAGAATTAACAATGTGGTTTCAAATTTTCGTTATATGATTTTACTTTTTTTGTTTATTTTTACTAAATCACTAAACTTTAAAAAAAATTACACATTATATCAATAGATAACATCTAATGGCCTCGAGTTACATATATAGATGAATGATGAGTGGTACCTAAGGAACGTTTTCCTCCGTATCTACGTACCAAAGAATTGGAACCCGATATGGATTATGCTTGTCGAGCATCCTTCAAGACTTCATTTCATTTTATGAGTGTATTTTATATATCTATTTGTACCAAATTATATAAGATAGGAGGGATGGTCATTTCCTAGGTTTAGGAATGGAATACATGTGAGAGAATTAGAGGCAGTCGCAAGAACTGATAGTAGGTATTGTTGGAAAAAAAAATTCCGATCAAACATAATATAAAAGTATGTTGCTATTAATAATCTTTGTAGTTGTGTTGTAGTTAGGTTAATAACAACATACTCTTAATACTTTGTTTAATAAATCAATATATTTTCATTTCTTTTTTATATTTATAATACTTATAACATCTTATTTTGTAACACCTGGTCAATTTAATTTTTTCGAAATAGGATTGATATATTTTTACGAGAAATTGTATAATTAAAATAACTAAGTTTTATAAGTATGACAAACTAGTTAATTAAATAAATAAGGTATAATAATAATAATAATGATGATGATAATAATAATAATAATAATAATAAATCAATTTACTTAATTAATTAGGATTTATAAATCCAGGGGTGTTTTGTGCATTTTTCCGAAATCAGTTTTGAATAGATATTTCGAATTTAGGGTATAAGTTGCCATTAGACTGAATTTAGGGTGTTTTGTGCATTTCGAACATTTGTGTCTTCTTCCCTGCATCTCGTTGCAGCAGTAGCAGACACAGTTTTTCCATTTGTGAACATCTTTATGTCGAGAATCATAGAAAACAATCGTCCCCAAACCTCTTATTCAGTAATTTCGGGCTTTATGAAGCCTTTCTCGTTTTTTTTTTTACGTAGTTACCAAGTTATTTTACATAGTGGCACAATAGATAAAAAAAAAATCGAAAAAAAAATCATTGTATACAAAAAAAAATTATGTGTTGTCGGCGTCATACCAAACACCTAACACCGAGCACTTAACTAAAATTGTCCATGCTTTTATATGGCATCACAGATGGGAGGGATGGATTGTCACTAATGACCATCTTGACCTGGCTAATGTAATGTGTCAAAAGTAAAATTATATATTTTTCTTATTTTTATATATATTATATGGGTGTTGCTAAAAAAAACCGAAAAAACATAACATTTGCATGTGAAGATCAACGCACGCTTTACACCCATACACATGGGGGTTTATTTAATATACCTTATTATATATTGTGTTTTTTATGGGATTTTGCTTTTCAATTGGACAATGTCTAATTTGGATTATTATTTTTTTTCTTATGTATTGTAGTTGTTTAAGGTTTTGATTTTCATGTCTATTTCCGTTTTAGATGCCCTTGTTCTCTTATTTACATTCAAATATTTTATATTCAAATATTTTATAAGACAATACGATATTTCGAAACTTAGAATTAATATTCTCGAAAGACGTTGACTTCTTTAAATTTCTAAAGAATTAAACACGTGCATGTGACAGTCTTTAATTTTTTGTTCTTGAGAAGGGTTTAAATAATGGATTAAGAATTCTTAAAAGTGGTGTGGATTTCATACTCTTTGTTGAATATGGATGTCTTGTATAAACACTTAACTTGGTATCTAGGAGAAAATGAACAAAATTTGACATAAAATTACAGATTTGCAGATTTTTTTGGGTAATATCCAAAAAAATGTTTACTCGTAAAAATAGTCCTTATTGGGGGTTTGAGTTGTGGATTTGGTCCCTAAAGTTAACATCTGTTACTTTTACTCTGTTAAATTTTTCTCAAATGACCGTTTTGTTATTCATCATAAATTACAAATTATTTTTGATTAAAATGTATTTCTATGATCTAGTGGTCCTACTTACACCCAACGTTTCAAGAACAAGCCTACCACCCACCCTTTCCCCCAACCAAAATTGAACTAGGCGTCGTTGTCTTCTCCGACCAGCCTATGTAGTGTTCTCCGATGAAACAACCTAATTTTTCGATAGGAAAAAAACTAACGGTACAAACGCAAAATTAAAACAACATAAACCAAACCCAATAGAATCAAATGAGACCAAAATCAAATTCTCATCATCAATAATCGTTATGTTGTGTTTTTTATCGTCCAAAACATGCAATTAAATAGGGGAAAGAATGAAATTTCAAAACAAAAGAAACAAAATTGCAAAACTGGATTACTTAAAAACACATATGTTGTTGTACAAAACAAACCAAAATCTTCAAAAACCATTAGGATATTCAAATCTAGATTTAAACCTGGTATTGCGTTTTGTGAAGAAATGCAAAATAAGGGGAGTTTTTAGTGAATGCGATGAGTTTTTCTTGCAAGAGGGAAATATGAACAAAGAGAATGAGAAGGGAAAAGGATATTGACAGTTAGGGAGGCTTTGTAGCGACCCAAATTTCACGTCCAAAAATTTCGGTTTAAAACCTTACTTTAGAAAACATTAATAATTAAAACATTGTTTGATCAAACCACAACACAACGCAAACCATGTTTAAAAGCTAAACCATACAACCCATCAAATATCAGAGTACAAATCCCAGTGAATCTCGTAAATACGGAAACCAGAGTGTGTGCATGATGTGCCGCTACCGCGCCAGCTCCTTCCCCTTCGGTGAAGAGGTACCTGAACACAAAACTGTAAAACGTAAGCACAAAGCTTAGTGAGTTCCCCCACTGTACCACATACCACATAATCACATAACATATGTAAATTTGTCAAGCATATCTGGGTGCCTGACCTACCCCTTCGGTCCTCTCGACCGGATGCTGCCTAACATATCTGGGTGTTGGCCTCCCCTTCGGTCCTTTCGACCGGATACTGCCTAGCATATCTGGGTGCTGGCCTCCCCTTCGGTCCATTCGACCGGATACTGCCTAGCATATCTGGGTGCTGGCCTCCCCTTCGGTCCTTTCGACCGGATACTGGGGACTATTTCACCCCTACTACTACCACATAACACATATATCACATAGTCTAGCAACCCTAGATGAATATCACAAAGACAATCACCTAATCACACATCTCCTACTGGTGGGCCGGCATTGTGGCCTTAGACCCACCTCTACTGGAAGGCGACTCACCTCAAAGTAGCTGCTGAACTGATCGGGAACTGACTGACTGCTGCTGCTGCTCCGGAACTCCTCCGACTGCAATTCCCACAACATACTCAATCACACACTGCTAACTGTCCTCTGGGTAAAAAGACCATTTTACCCCTGGTCTAGCCCTAAGTCAAAATCAGATTCAACTATCAGTTGACCCGACTCGCCGAGTTGGCTCTCCAACTCGCTGAGTCCCTATCCAAACGATTGTCATGAGTCCCTGATTCTACTCGTCGAGTTAGGCTATGACTCGACGAGTTCTTCTTCTAAACTGACATTGAAGTTCTTCGTCCTACTCGCCGAGTTGTATGAACAACTCGTCGAGTTCATCTTCATCCGATGAACACTCATGCTTAGACTCGCCGAGTTGTATGAACAACTCGCCGAGTCTGTTCTTGATCTATGAAGATTGCCTTGGACTCGCCGAGCCAGGCCATGACTCGCCGAGTCCTACCATGGGTGAGTTCAGCTTCCAACTCACCAAGTCACCCCCTGTGACTCACTGCTCAAACTCGATACAGCATAAAGGGACCAATTCGGTGACTCGCGAGCCGACTCGCCGAGTCATCGCCATGCATCCATTAGATACACCGATTTGTTCGATTTCAGTCCATGCCATTCATAGATCTAGGCTTCTAAGACACGAATCACACGTAAAGTTTCCAACTTTACGTGTGGGTATTCACTAATATGGATTTTAGGGTTCAAAATGCCTCAAAAGGGTAGATCTAGGATGAACAAGCCACATGGGTCCATAAAGCTAACAGATCTGAGCTCCTGGAGCTCAATCTTGCCTAGATCTAAAGGCCAATCCACTTATTACGAAACATTAAGCACAAACAAGCTTGGGGAATTGCTCAAGAGTGTCTTAAATGAAATCTTAAGCATAGAAACAGGGGGAAAACGAGATATACCTCAATGAAACAGCTGAAAAACACAATGATGCTTGGATGGCTCTCCTTCCTCTTGATCTTCTTCCCCTTCTTGCCTCAAAACCTTCAAGAATACACACAAGAGCCTCAAACTCAAGAAACAAGCTTAGGACGAGGGTTGGGAGCTCTGGGGGTGAATGGGGGCTGGCAAGGGCGGATATGAGGTTTAAATAGGGTGCAAACCCCTGAAACTTAGGGTTTCATCCAACAGCGGTGACTCGCCGAGTCCAGGATATGGACTCGCCGAGTCGCCAACTTAAACGTGTCCTGGGTCTCGTCCCTACTCGGCGAGTCGGACCTATGACTCGCCGAGTCCAAGGCTAAAATGGGAAATACTCAAATAAGATTTACATACCAGGAACCAGGTGCTACAAATCTCCCCCACTTATTTTAGACTTCGTCCTCGAAGTCTGTTGCTCGATCCGAAACAGCTCGGGTAATGCTCCATCATCTCGTCCATCGGCTCCCAAGTCCATTCCGAACCCTTGCGGTGCTGCCATTGCACCTTCACTAGTTCTACCCTCTTGTTCCTCAAATCCTTCGACTTCCTGCTCGAGTATTGCGACTGGGCGCTCAATGTAATTTCAAGTTGTCATCAACCTGAATATCCTCCAACGGTACTACTGCTGAATCGTCCACTAGGCACTTCCGCAGCTGAGAAACATGGAAAGTGTTGTGGATCTGACTGAGCTCGCTGGCAGATCCAGCCTATACGCCACCTTGCCCACCCGGGCTACAACCCTGAACGTCCGATGAATCTTGGGCCCAACTTGCCCCCTTCCTGAATCGAATGACGCCTTTCCAAGGCGACACTTTCAGGAGAACCATATCCCCGACTTGGAACTCCAAGTCGGATCGACGCTTGTCGGCGTAACTTTTCTGCCGACTTTGAGCAGTCTGAAGTCTGCTCCGAACTTGCTGGATCCTCTCGGTCGTCTCGAGCACCACCTCGGTGCTTCCCATGACTCTCTGGCCAACTTCACCCCATCATATCGGGGTTCTGCACCTCCGCCCGTACAACATCTCGAATGGTGGTCGGTCGATACTCGCGTGGTAGCTG